GGTGGTGGTGGCGGTGGGGGCGGTGGTGGTGGTGGTGGTGGTGGTGGTGGTGGTGGTGGTGGTGGTGGTGGTGGTGGTGGTGGTGCACACAAATGAGATGGCATGCCTTGTTCGCGGAGATGCTGAGTGACACATTGAGAAGAAGCTTGCTTATGTTTTCTCGCTCTGTAACTACGTCCGTGTCCTAATCAAAGTCAGGGCCTGATCAAGTGCCTAAGGGGTCCTGCAGCCCACTGCAGAGAACGGACCCGTTTGGAGAGCCGCATTTTTGGGACAGTCACTCAAATATCCTACCAGAACGCATCAGTATTCCCATCAGTATTTTCATTATGGTCGTGATGCTGTTGATTTGTAGCTGAAAGCTTTTCGTTTGATTGTCTCCATGTGCCATGCGGTTAAAAAGGGGACGTAGTGAACACCTTTCAGCATCAGGCTTAGCATGCCTCAGCACAGGGTTACGTCAAGTCCAGATCATTTCGTTGAGCTGGACGATCTGATGCAGGTCGGTCCTGCGCGGGTGGAGGGACCAACGTGCGTGCCTTCAAGACCACGAACTGGCTCAGCGGTGGCTGCGCCTGCGACCAGGGGGAGCTGCATTTTACATCATAGGTTTCATCAAATGCAAGGATTGGATTCATGGTGTGCTTCTACTTCCGGTCAAGGAGCTATCCAAGGTTGCAGCTGTTGGACGAGGTGTTTGGATCTCTGAAGAATCCTGCTGCGGCACATGGCGGCTTGAAACAAGGCAGCGAAGCGTCTGCATCGCGTTGGAGGCCTCCTAAGACAATCTTGGACAGGCCCTCGAGGTGCACAAGCGGAAGGACACAGTTAAAGGGCGAGAGAGTTTCGCCCACTGTGCCGTCCAGCCAGGGCAAACTCATGGCCAAAAAAGCGGTAGCCAAAGCCAAGGCTTGGTTGAAAGCACCTGTAAAGCCTTCTGCAAAGATTTCTACAGCTCGCGACATCCCACCTTTGCGGGGCCTGCCAGCCGAAGAGGGCCATGCCGGCCATGCTCGAGGGGTCAGGGACCACCCCATTCACAGTTGGGTGCAGGAGTCGTCACGAGAAGCATCGCGGACTTGATGGTTGGCGGTTTTTGTTTCAGGTCGCACAGTCAAAGAGTAGGCTGCAACAAGTTTCGCGTTCCCTTGCGGACCTAAGGTAGCCGCAGCTGGTTCTAGTGCCCGGTCTCATATGGAGAAGTCAGCGGATGACCCGTCTGAAACGGGGACGGTTTATTCAGATGAGGAATACGAAGATGATTCCGATCACTGAGGGGACTGACAGGAGGCTCAACTAGAGGAGCAACCGCTTGCCAGCTCCGCGGAAAAACATGCCACTTCTACCTTCTTGTAGGTGCTGGGCCATACCTCGCTCAAGTAGCCAGGTGAAGCTAATCCTAAGATTTTGCCAACGGGATACCTCTGCTACGTCTCAGCTAAACTTCTATCCTGATCATGCTTCACTGTGCTTGTCAGCCTGCTGGTCAGAGGAAGTCGCCTGCAAATCTTGTAGATCCAGAGGATGTGAAATTCTCAGTGCTGGAAAGCTTGGTAAGGATCCCTCAGATGCAACGGCGCCAGCACTACCAGAGGTCCAGCGCACCTTGCAGACATGCGCAATGGCATGTAGGTCTGAAAGGTGGCAAGGTCTGCATCTGTTGAAGGAGTTGGCTGAGCTGCGGAGCCGTCTAGGTCGTGTTGAAAGGGCACGGATCTCGAACTCGTGTTGTACCTGCAAGCCTCGCAGTGTCAAAGCCGAGTGAAAGCGCAAGCTGAAGTCAAGGCTTTGCAGGCCTGCCGTGGCCATGCACCGGGATGGTCCAGTTCGGAGGTGCTGCGATTTGAAAGCCAAGACCACGGCACGTGCTAAGCTTTCTCGAGGTGCTGAGTTTGAGGGGCCGGCTGCAAACAGCTGGGTGCCAAAGGGATTATTGCGATGAGAAGGATGTATGTTTGTGGAAGCCTCCCGTGAGCGTGTTGTGAGCCCCAAATGCCTTTGTTAGATAGACGTACAAATCGATGTTTGCTTTTTTTGGAGTTTAAAAGTCACCTGGTAACCCTCAACAAGTGACTATGATGCCCTAATATCCTCATCTCCAATTGTCTCTGCATCCCGAGGTAGAGTCTGAACTTGTGGATGTCCGTGCAGAACTACGAGAGGTGGGAGGAAGAAACGCGAGATGGCAACAGCAATTCAGCCAGTACCAAGAGGCGTGCGCCACAATTTCCCACATGGCGTGCATGTGGGAGAAGATGGAGAAGTACGAAGTCACAGACAGGTTCGGAATCGTGATAGGGAAGGAAGAAGCTCACAAGCAGTAGGATAGTATCAGTGTGCTTGTGCCGCGCTCATTCTGGCATGCCTGCCCTGATCATGCATTTGTTCATGGAAACAGTTGTTTTCAGTAGTGGGCGGCATGCTGGAGCGGGTTTTTCACAGCAAGTGATGATGTGACTTGAGGGACCATTGTCCAGGTGTACTCCACCTGGTCTTGCACCCAGGGCTGAGGCTTCTTCCACGGGCAGCCATAAATGTGTATGTTGGAATGCAGCAACGACATCTTGGCTCTTGTGCGCTGAGTTCCTGTTGCTGCGTCTCCTATTCAGCCGATTCAAAGTTCAAGGAGCCCCGGCTTGGTCTAGGGACAATGCAAGCTGTCCCGGTTTTGAAGGACGAATGGTTCCGAGAACGGGAAGGCTGCCCAGAAGGCCAGCGATCTATCATCACCAGTGAAGCCTTTACACGTTGGAAGTGTTGCAAACCTGAATGCGGTGTGCCAGGGTGCAGCAGCAGTGTGTTGCCCGGGCCAGGGCCAGGCTGTAAAGGTCTCAGCTGTGCGTCTGTGCATTCTGCTTGGGCCACGCTGAGCATGTTGGTTGTGCATGCAGCTCGCGCATGACCGCTGTGCAGCTGTTCAAAAATTGCCACAATCACAAGCTTTCGAGCACATGGGTAGTCCCCAAACTTTCAGTCATGCAGAAGCAGAAAAGTGCAGCGGGTTAGGCTGCTCTGATCAAGCATCGCTGGACATACCGTCGCAATGAGTCTCCTGGGCGCGGGTTATGACAGCGAGGGAGAAGATAGCGCCGAAGCGCCGGAGCAGAAAGCCAGGGCAAGCAATGTGCCGTTTGCATGTTGCTTTGGAGCTTGCAGCCCAGAGTTTGAGCAGAATTCCCGGGACAGGATGGAGAGCCATCGCCGCCAGGGGAGCCATCTCCAGACAGTGGCCACGCTCTCAGACGTATGAGTTCAAGTCCAAGTATTCCATCCCAAAGCAAGTGCAGGTGTCGATCCGCTTGCAGATGAAGCCTTGTTGAAGAAGCGGAAGGACTTCGAGCAAGCGCTGCTGAGTTTTGATCATGCATTTGGTGATGCTTGAAAATGAAATGACCCGGCAGATCGACTACTCAAAGCTGCCAATGTCAAGGCTGGACCACAAGTCTTCGCTTTGGCACAAGATTTGAGACCTGTGAGTGATTTGGCATGTTGGTTTCGAGAGTTGTGCGAGTGTTAAGCAAAACGTCAGAAGCTGATGTTCCCTAGTTCAGATGGTAGGGAAATGAGCAGGGACCTCCAGAGGAGGGCAGGGAGGCAGGAAGAAAGACAGCCTTTCGGACGAGAACTTGCCAAAGTATCAGATTTGAAAAAGCACGGACAATCAGCACGTACAGCCACGAGAACGGATCCGCGATCTGGTAACTTTCATTCTGATCTCGCGTTCTCAGGTGGATGTTGTGATACTGTTGCAGAATGGCGGGGGTTTTGATTGAGCTGGTGGCTCAACCCAAAAGGGGAGGGGGGTGATGCAGTGCAACACAACATGTGAGCAGCGGTTTTTTTTTACGCTTAATCAATTATGAATTCGTACGACGCTATCGTCTCCAATTCGTGTCCGAAAATGAGGTTTTCCTGTGCGCGCGGAAGGACGCGGAAGCTCCACGGAAGCGTTTCTTCGCGGAAGGCTTGCGGAAGCTCATGTTTTCAGCCACGCGAAAAATGCGATTGAAAATGGATGCTTCTTCTTGTATGTAGGCCCAG